GCAGGGAGGCTGCACAGGCTAAAATCACCCAGCCGCAGTGGCCTACTGTCGTTGTCTGCAAGCAAGGGCGCGGTAGCTCCCTCACAGGCCCGGGGGGAATGCCCCAAAGTGCCTCCAACGGCAACAAGGGCGTGCTGCAAAGATGGATGGAAACGGTAGGGGCATCTCGAAAATTGATGATGCTGATTTTCTTCATAAAAACATCTATAGATTTTCTCAAAATAGAATGAGAACAGTTGTCCGCGGGCTTTTCCATCCGGTAGGGGCATCCCGCAAATTAGTGACCGGTACCGGTAGGGGCGTCACGAAAAGATTGGAGGCCCAATGACACCGGGGACTTTTGGAACATTTCAACCCTGCTCAGAGGGGCGCGACAGGGTAAATTGCCGTCGGAGGGGCGGGACGCGAATTATTGCAAAATACAGGGGCTCCAGACAAATTTTCGAAAAAGAAAACCATCAAATATACACACAACTGTACACGTACACCCGTGATGGTACCAAACAGGGCTGGCGTAGGCGAGGCCGGTTAACTGGGTGGCACCCTCATTTTCGCATCCCCGGCACCTGCCTCTTTCAGGCTCGGCAATAATTGGCGCGCAGCAACCCCCTCCCATCCCCCTGCGGTAAACGGGGGCTCGGACATACTGGTGGTCTCTGAAAAAAAAGGTCTCAAAAAAAAAAGAAAAAAAAGAAAAAAAAAGGCATAGGGGATACAAGTTCCACCAAGCCGCGAACACAATACCCTGGAAGCAACCCCCCTCCACAGACAAAGATTCTCGGTTGGTGCCCCCGCTTCCCGCTCCCCGCTCTTCCCCTGGAAGTCGTTTGCGCACGTGCCGCGCAGATGTTTCCAGCGGCGAGTGTGGGGGGAGGCGGGACCCGAACGCGCGCCTTGAGCTGCTGATGATCAGGAACAAGCGCTGGCAGAAAAGGAGCTGCCGAGAGACACGTGGCCGTCGCCCGACGGTGTGTAAGCGGAGGGTTGGGCGGAGGGTGGAGGGGCGGAGGGGCGGAGGGACGGGGGAGGGTGTCGGTAGGGGAAACAAGCTTGAAAGAATAAAGGAGGAGGGGGTTGCACTATAAGGTAATTGTTGGTGGCAAAAAAGGGAAAGGGAGGAAGTTTCTCATCGCAGTCCTTTCCCGGATTCTCGCTGCAATCACTGCTGGATGATGACGAAACGTATTTGACCGAATTTCCAGTCCAATTCACTCTTGGTCGACGTTCATCTGAAGTCTATCTATTTTGCTCAGACTGAGTCGTTGGCCGGTGGTTGGACCTTTGCCGCGTGGACACTCGCGACGTGAGGTTTGTCGCGTGGACACGTGCCACGTGGACCATCGGGAGAGAGACACATCGGGACTGTCGCTTTCAGGAAGCGATGGCGGCCGATGACGTGGCTGTCTTGGGTTTCGCAGAGGTGAATCTCCTCTCCCTGTCACCTCTCCTCCTCCTCCTCGATCTCGTTTCTCTCTGCTCATCTCCCTCCTTCATGCCTGCCATCTCTCTCTGCTCCTCCGGATCTTCGCTTCCTCTCCTCCCTTTCCTCCCTTTCTCTCCTCCTCGTTTCCTCCTCTTTGTCTCGTGCTCGCTTTCTCCCTACTGCGTCGTCTTCCTCGTCATATTTTCTACTACTCGCTTGTACGCTGATATCCTCCTCCTCCTCCTCCTCCACCTCCTCCTCCTTCTCCTCCTCCTCCTCCTCTTTCTTCCCCTTCTCCTTCTCCCCTTGGCTCTTGCTGACGACTTCATCTCTGCTCTGCCTTTTCCTCCTCCTCTGCTTCCTCCTCCACTTTGTCGCGCTACCCCTTCTCCTCTTCCTTCTCTTCCTCCTCGTTCTCCTCCTCCTTCTCCTCCTCCTCTTCCTCCTCTTCCTCCTCTTCCTTCTTCCCCGTCTCCTCCTCCCCTTGGATCTTGCTGATGACTCCATCTCTGCTCTGCCCTTTCCTCCTCCTCTGCTTCCTCCTCCTCCACTTCGTCGCGCTACCCCTTCTCCTCTTCCTTCTCTTCCTCCTCGTTCTCCCCGTTCTCCTCGACTGGATCTCGTGGCCATGCCACTCCCTTCCCTCTTCTTCCTCCTCTCTTCTTCCTCCCAATGCCTCCTCTCTTCTCCTTCTCTCGCTCTTCTTTTTCTGCTCCCCGCTCTCGTTTGTTTTTCTTTTTTCGTTTTTTTTTCTCTGGTCCTTCCGTCTCCCCCGTGCTCCCCTTCTTCCGGATGTCGTTGGGGAGTTCCCTCCCCCGTGCCCCCTCCATTCGGCCATCTCCCTTTTTCTCTAGTGGGACCACTTCCCTGCTGCCCCCTCCATATCCGCGATTTCCTCTTCCTTCTGGATCTCCTCCTCCTCCTCCTTCTCCTCCTCCTCCTCCTCTTCCACTCCCGCTTCTCCTCCTTCGCCTCCTCCTCTTCCATTCCCCCTTCTCCTCCTCCTCCTCCTTTTCCACCCCCACCCTTCTTCTCCTCCTCCTCCTCTGGCTTTTCTGGTCTTCCACCCCCCTTGTTCCTCCTCCTTTCCTCCTCTTCTCCTCTCTCTTGTCTCCCTCTCCGGCGCCTCTGGATGTTATCGAGGGTCTTCCTTCTTCCCCCCCCCCCCCCCCCCCCCCCCCCCCCCCCCCCCCCCCCCCCCCCCCCCCCCCCCCCCCCCCCCCCCCCCCTTTCCCCCCCCCTCCCGGGGACCCTTGTGCCCGATCGCCTATTTTTGCTGTAACATCAATCAACTGTGTCGATGATGATTTGATCTCGTGATCTCTTCGTCATCACCTTGTATGTGTGTTGTGCTGGCTCTCTCTCTCTCTCTCTCTCTCTCTCTCTCTCTCTCTCTCTCTCTCTCTCTCTCGCTCGCTCGCTCGCTCGCTCGCTCGCTTAATTAGTGGTAGATTCATAAGCGAGCAGGCATCAATAAACTGTGTCGATGATGATTTGATGTCGGGATCTCTTCCTTTGTTTGCTTCTCCATTGTCTTTGGCACTCGAGGTTCTTCCTCCCTCTCTCTCCCCGAATGCCGCTGTCCTCCCTTTTCTTTTTTTTTTTCTTCCGGATTTACTTTTATCAGAGACTCCTTTCCATTGGTGGGGAGCAGCAACCGCTGTCCGTTTTCATTTTTTATTTTTTAATTCTTTTTTCTGTGTGTTTTCCCGCCCGCGTCGTTTTTTTTGGTTCTTGTGTATTTCTCTTCTCCTCTCGTCGTGCTTTCTCTCAGTATCTCCATCGCTGTGTCCCCTTTCAGCTGCAGCGCACATGTCAGCTACCTCCTCCCTCCTCCCTCCTCCCTCCCCTCCGGATAGTGCGCAAGGACTATTACTATCCGTCCAATGAACAGATCGCTGGGCCTCCGTTCTTTCTAAAATCGCCCCTCTCGCTCGCCCTTCCTGAAAAATAGACTACGACTAATGACGATCGGATAAGGAATGGATAATGAGGAGAGGAGGAATGGATAATGAGGAGAGAAGGAATGGATAAGGAGAGAATAAGAAACGGATGAGGAATGGATAAGGAATGCATAACGAGTGGATAATGAGGAGGTATTCGTAATCCCCAATACTTCTCCGTTTTCTTGACCTCCGTTTTCTTCTCCGTTTTCTTCTCCGTTTTCTTGTCCTCCGTTTTCTTGTCCTCCGTTTTCTTCTCCGTTTTCTTCTCCGTTTTCTTCTCTGTTTTCTTCCTCTTCTTCCCGTCAAAAGCGTGAAGATCCATTCCCGTTTTGTGCGCGCGCGCGCGAGAGAGAGAGAGAGAGAGAGAGAGAGAGAGAGAGAGAGGTGACGAATTGGCGGGAAACGGTGCTGGGGTGGGGTTAAGTAACGAATCTTGGGGCTTAACACCCATGAGGTCAGGTTAGCCGTTTGGTTGACCTTGCAAATCCCATGAGGTAGGTCGCGTGTTCGATTCTTTTTTTATTTTTATTTTTTATTTTTATTTTTTTGGTGAGATTGTTTGATGGACGAAAAAAAGCAGAAAATGCAATTCTTCGTCTTTTTCTTCTTCTTGTGGAGATTGGTTTTTGAGATACGATCGAGTTCACGCAGGTGCTTTGTTTGTGAATATTGTAAGCGTGGACACGTGGCGATTGGACACGCATTCTATGTATTCTATTCGTCTTCTTTATTTTTGTCTGGCCATTTTTTCGTCATTTTCGTTCACGCCACTGTGGAAACCAAGAAAGTACGAGTGCATCTTCCCCGGAAAGTGGCCAGATGCATGCACTGGTGTGGATCGGGCCTTGATAAGGGCCGCCTCGGTTCACGCCACTGTGGAAACCAAGAAAGTACGAGTGCAACTTCCCCGGAAAGTGGCCAGATGCATGTATCCGTTACGCTTCATAGTAATGGATGCATCTGGATCCCCCTTGACTCGACTTGATAAGGGCCCCTCGCCACGCCACTGTGGAAACCAAGAAAGTACGAGTGCATCTTCCCCAGAAAGTGGCCAGATGCATGCATCCGTTACTGTTCATAGTAATGGATGGATCTGGCCACTCCTTGCGGGAACATGCAGTCGTACGACAGTGGCGTGGCGAGGGGGCCTAAATCAAGTCGAGTCGAGGGGGATCCAGATGCATCCATTACTATGACGCGTAACGGATACATGCATCTGGCCACTTTCCGGGGAAGATGCACTCGTACGTTCTTGGTTTCCACAGTGGCGTGAACCGAGGCGGCCCTTATCAAGGGCCGATCCACAGCCGTGCATGCATCTGGCCACTTTCCGGGGAAGATGCAACTCGTACTTTCTATGGAGCGTAGCCAGGCGAAACCAAGAGAGTCGGGGAATGTGCGCGTTTGTGAGTTGTGAGCCTCGCTCCATTACTCACTCACTACATGCAGAAAAGACGGAAAAATAGGGCGGTGTATCTGTCCATGTTCCAGCGGAAGATTCATTCTAATTTTGCACATTTGGTGAGTCGTCGAGTGAGGCCCAATGTCTGTGTCCTTGCAGGTGCTCTGATGAACATGACTGTGGGAGGGTTGATTGGTATCACCATGCTCATTAAAAAAAAAGGGAATTAACAAAAAAATAAAATAAAAATGGAAATAAAAGGAACAGAGCTAGGTTACCAGCCGGGCTGCCCGGGTCACCCTATTTTCCCGGGCGGCCCGGCCGTGCAAGGTCTAAGGAAGTATGCAGAAAAATAAACTAAACAACTTTTGCCTCAGGGCCACATCGAAATTCTTTACCAAATTTGAAACAAAAATTTAATTATAGTGAATTAATTTATTTATTTTTGGCCTGGCCGGGCAAGTGGGCCCGGGCCACTCTGGTAGCCTAGGAAATAAGGGGAAAAAAAAAAAGAAGGAAAAAATCTAGGCTACCAAAGTCGCCCCGGACCGCTTCCCTGACCGGGCCGAAAGAAAATAAAAAATAAAAACGAAAAATGAAAACTTTTATTTTAATTTTCATTTTAAATTTGGTAAAGAATTTCGATGTCACCCTAAGGCAAAAGCTGTTCAGTTTATTTTTCTGCATAACGTAGTTTTTTTTTTTTCGATTTTTTTTTTACGGAAAAAAAGAAAAGGAAAAGGGGAAAATAAGGGGAAATCAAGGAGTAAAGATATGTAGCGATTGGATCGGTCGTGCAGCTGATAAATCTACGGCTGCCGATCGTTTCTTTGCCGATCGGGATCGGGACGCTTGGCAGTTTCAGCTGCGATGATGATTTGAGTCCATCTCGTGTCTCTCCCCCACACTTCTTTGTCTGTCTCGTTCGTTGAACCTGTATGGTTCCTCCTCCTCCTCCCCCTCCCCCCCCCAACCTCCCGGCCCCCAAAGGTTGTAGGTTTCTCCCCTGACGATGGACTGAAAGAAAGGAAGAAAAATAGAGAAACCCCTTGAATCTCCTTTTTGCTCTTGGTTTGAGAATTGCATCTCGGGGTGTATGTTTTTTTTTTTTTTTTTTTTTTCGGCCTTTTGAGGATTAAACCTTCTCTTTGCTCTTTTGGTTTGAGAATTGTAATGCAGGCACGGATGTTGATTTGATTTTTTTTTTTGTTGGGGGGGGGGGATGAGTGTGAATTTTATCTTCATGAAAGCCACGATTTTTTTCTTTTTTTCTTTTTTTTTGAGAGCTACAAAGTCCCATCTCAATAGTCCAATGATAAGAAAGAAGGGAAAAAAAAAAGCACAGAATTTCTCAATTCCAGAATCAACCAACCAATTTGTGTCTTCGAAAGCAGGGCCTTGTGAAGTCTGTGGGCCATGGTCATTCTTTTTTTTTTCCTTTTTGCCATTTTGCAATTTTTGTCTTTTAAAGCAGGGCCTTGTGAAGTCTCTATCTTTTTCCGGACACTTCTTTGTGTTTTCCGTTTCTGGAAACTTCCAGCCATTTGTGTCTTCAAAAGCAGGGCCTTGTGAAGTCTGTGGGCCATGGTCATTCTTTTTTTTTTCCTTTTCGGGAGACTTATTGCCATTTTGCAATTTTTGTCTTTTAAAGCAGGGCCTTGTGAAGTCTCTATCTTTTTCCGGACACTTCTTTGTTTTTTCCGTTTCTGGAAACTTCCAGCCATTTGCGTCTTCAAAAGCAGGGCCTTTTGAAGTCTGTGGGCCATGGTCATTCTTTTTGTTTTCCTTTTCTGGAAACTTATTGCCATTTTGCATTTTTTGTCTTTTAATTTGTCTTTTAAAGCAGGGCCTTGTAAAGTCTCTGTTCATGACTATTCTTTCAGAGGTCGGTGACAAGACTTTTTTTGTTGCAGCTGTAAGTATGTTTACCTTTTTTTTCTTTTTTTTTTTTTTCCTTGGGGCAGGTTTGAACCTTGGAAGGGATTAAAATAAAAAAATAAAAAAATCACTCTATTTTCTTGTATACTAGGTTGTTTTTCCGGGCGCCCGGGCACCCAACTTGTGCCCGGATACCCGCCCGGGTTCCCGTCCGGGCATGACGCCCGGGCAAGGTTCCGGGCAGCCCCAGCGCAAAAAAATAAATAAAAAAAAATCAGGAAAAAAAAATGTTGTGTAGAATTGCAAACAAACAACTTTTGGCTGCGGGTCACATCAGAATTCCTCACCCAATCAGAGATAAAAAGGAAAATAACAAACTCACACTAAAGGACCCCCCTTTAACCCCTCTTAGCCCCTTTAAAAACAATTTATACCCCCTTTTCCCCCCCTTGACAGCCAACTCTCAAAAAATGAAACGAGCTGTGCCCAGCTGTGCATAAAAAAACTTCCTACCTTTTATATTTATTCACTCTGTTTTTTTTTTTTTAAAATATTCTTTCACTCTGTTCTTTTGTTGCGGCTGTGCTCGTCTGAAGTGTCCAATTCATCTTTTTTTTTTTTTTTAATCTTTCTTGTTCCCCCCCCCCCTTCCCTGAGAGTGGGAAACTTGCGCGTTTTTTTGGTGGTTGGCTGGGGTTTTGTGTTTGGGCCTGTTGCATTCCATTGTCAGTCGGGGCATAGGGCCAGATCCCACTGGCAAAGAGGATTGGAATAAGTGTCTGAATCTGGACGTGTTCCACACAGAGATGCAGAAAAGCAGTTCAATCACAATCTTTCCCACCTCTCCACAGACACGTCCAGATTCAGACACTTATTCCAATCTTCTTTGCCAGTGGGATCTCGCCCATACTCAAACGAGGACTTTCCTACCTATATGAGGATTGGAACAAGTGTCTGAATCTGGACGTGATTGCTGTCAGAGACCCTCAGAAAAACCCTCAGCCTCTTCTCAGAATCCGTCACACTCTCGTAACATATAGTCGATTGATATATAATTATAATTACTAAAGCAAATGAAACAGCTGTCTGGACGTGATTGCCGTCCAGATTCAGACACAACTTATTCCTGTTCAATTAATACAATTGAACAGGAAACATTCGTAGAAGACAGGTACGACACATGATGGAATTGTAACAGAGCAACCGAAATAAAAATAAAAATCACCGAAATAAAAATAAAAATCTTCTTGGGGTATTGTGAGGAATGTGTCCTCATGGGGCCCTAGACAACATGCATGCATATGTTCTGGACTGTGGCCCCCACCCAGCAAACCTCGCGCCCGCCCTTAGTGAAGGCGGGCCTGAATATCCATGAGAGGCCCTTATCTCAGCATTTTCTAATGTGGGTATCAGACAGTGGCAGCACGCCAGTTGGTTGAAGTGCAGCCGGGGCCTCACCCTGGGCTCCTTCCAGAAGAAGCCTCACCCTGGGCTCCTTCCAGAAAAAGCAGCTGCGTAAAGTAGTTGAGCCCAGGGCGCAACCACTTGTGCCCTGGGCACACGCAGTGTGAGGCCGACACATCACGAAGTGGCCGCGGGCCAATGAGAATGCAGCATTGTCGTCACACACCTACCCTGCGGACCAATGCAAACATGGCAAACGCTTGGAGCCTGGAGGCAACCTGAAGGTGCCCAACCGAAGAGGGCCCAGGCCCTTAACTGTAGGAATGGGCCCGGTCCCAGACGCTGGGGCCCGACTGGAAGCTACTGGAAACTTCCTCGGCACTGGGGCCCAGACAGTCCAGCAGCTGTCTGGGCCCAGGCATTGTCTCCCATATAGGGAGGATCCCAGCCAGTGTGAGGTATTCTGGCCTAGGCAGGCAATGCGGACACGCTGCTGCGATAGCGCACGAGTGTCTGCATGCGCTAATGCTGGCCGGGGTGCGCACGAGCGCTAAGAGGTGTGGGTGCAGGGGCGCGAGCGGGTGGTGGGCGACGGTGGTCTTCAGGAAGGAGGCGCAGGTGTGGGTGGACAAGGGGTACTTGTGCGCTAATGCTGGCTGGGGCGCGCGCGGGCTCTAAGAGGTGTGGGCGCTGCAGGGCAGCGGGGCGCCAAGCGGCCATAGTCGGGCTGCAGGGGCGCAAGCGTGTGGGTGGTGGGCGACAGTGGTCTTCAGGAAGGAGGCGCAGGTGTGGGTGGGCAAGGGGTGATGAGGGGAGTAGAGAGTACGTACCTGGTGTATGTGGGAGGTCGGCATTGGTGTTGACGTCGTGTATATTGGTCTTTGATGTCGAAGTGAGCCTGTTGCACGAATGTAGATAGGCTAGATAGGATGAGTAAAGTAGGCTGGGCGCTGGGCGCCATACAGTAGGAGCGACATTAGATACTGGGTTAGTGTGGCCTGAGGGCGTGGACATTGGCTCACCAGTTCATTGTATCGCTCTTATTTGATGGAATCTTGGTGCATTTGAGCTCTCTGCTTGGTACATGACTATCTGGACTTCTGCTTGATTTTGCAACTTGGTCATCTGTTTATCGCTCTCGCTCGTATTCCTTGCAGTATACTCAGACTGGCAGTTTCCTTGTTAGTGTATCTGGGCGCAATTACGGCCAAACCTCTTGCCCGGCTGTGCCAAAAAGTGAAATAAAAAAGCATTTTTAAAAATTTATTATTTTATTCCTAATAATTTGGCAAAGAATTTCGATATGGCCCTGAGTCAAAAGCTGTTCAGTTTAATTTTCTGCAGAACAGTTTTTTTTTTTTTTTTTTCCGGGCAACGAGGGTCACCCGGGCTGCCCGGTTGGTAATTACTTAATTGAAGTATTGCTGATGATTAATTCGATGTTTTGGAAATTGAAATGGTGTTTAATAATAATTAATTAGTCAAAGTGTTACTGATGATTAATTTGATGTTTTGGAAATTGAAATGGTGTTTAATACTAATTAATTAATTAGTCAAAGTGTTACTGATGATTAGTTTGATCATTTTGATGTTTTGAAAATTGAAATGGTGTTTAATACTAATTAATTAATTAATTAATCAAAGTGTTACTGATGATTAAAATTTGATGTTTTGAAAATTGAAATGGTGTTTAATACTAATTAATTAATTAATTAGTCAAAGTGTTACTGATGATTAATTTGATCATTTTGATGTTTTGAAAATTGAAATGGTGGTCCAGTTGTTAGCAATGCGTCATCCTCGGAGCTCAGTCATGGCGGGCTCTTTAGGGGCACTTCTGGTGAGTGTGTGTGTGTTTTTTTTTTTTTTTTTTTTTTTTTTTTTTTTTTTTTTTT